TACAGACAATTTAAAAACATCACAACAAGCCTTAATAATGTTTATTTAACAAAAAGATTTTTAGTGTCATTGCAGCTCGAACACCAACATAAGTTGCTCTTTATGTTTAATAATTTCATTTAAACTACAGCAGAAGCCCCCTTTTATGCACCGTCAACAAATAAAAGTGCAATAATGTGCAAATGCAAAATAACTATTACAAAAAAACCTTCATTTGGTTTCCTTCAATCAGTACTATAAGCACTACTTCAGCTATACAAACATGTCTACTAATAACTAAAATATGGCTTTAAATTTCTACATAAATTCATACACAGAACTGTACCAGTACCTTCAGACTTAGACAGATGAACATAAAGCACAATCAAATGAATTAGTGGGTCAATATGTAAGGATAATAAAAATATATAAAAGCAAACAAAAAGTTATGTCAAAAAAGATCCCTTAGACTGCCAGTAGTCGGTGTGCGAGAACGTCAAATGACACCAAACCTAAAGCTTTTCCTAAAATATGTGTTGTGAGCAGCTGACCGATGGTGATGATACACGGAGTCATGAGCGGGGGAGAATCCAGCAGTTTTTTCCCATCCACAGAACACTTGTCCACGCACTTGTGATCGTTTGCTAACGTTGCGCTGAATGTTTCAGGCACAACACATTTTTCCTTTTGTTTCCTTACGAACTGCGTCAGTAGGATTAATCTGTCAAATACGCAGCATTAGCTTCCTGTGAAACTTATTTCTTTGTGTTTCTGGCAGCAAAGAAATTAAGAGGTGACTGTTTTGTTAATAATTGGTTTGCCACTGGGCGCAGACAGGTGGTAAAATATTTGATATTTAAAAAATCAATAATATCCTCTGAGCAGCAAAAATTGGTTCAATCTAAAGAAAACTGGGCAATGTTTTGCTATGGTTTACAGATTGAACGTCGTGTTTCAGTCTTATAATGTGCAACAGTGCGCATCAGACTTATGGAGTATGTTTTTCTTTCAACTTTTTTGGGCTTGTTGCCCAATCTGTAGTGGCGTCTATGCAAGCCCTGCTGATTTAAAAAGCAGTGCATGCAATTAGTCCGTTGCCACTGATGTAATGCTTAGCTATTATATCAGGGAGCTTAATACAACACTGTTTAAAAAAAAAAGAGAGAGAGAAAAAGTTTGGTATGTTTGGTATTGAGGCTGAAAGCTCGTTTCCGCCACTGAAAAAAAAAACCCTGATTGGCAGAGCTCATTCGATGTTTCGTTATCTCAAAATTTTGACGTAATAACTGTATTTTTTATTTTGTAGACCAAAATTTTGGAGATAGTAACTCTAATTTTCCATTTGTGGATGCCAGAAACTGTTTTTGACAGAGACGAGCTTCCGTAAAACGCAGCGTAGGCTTGCAGCAGGTTTAAGTCACACCTCAGAAACAGTGGCCTCTAGAAGAGTTAAGGTGATGTGAACAGGACACAGATGTAAACAGTACAAAAAGATGGGCGTGCCTTCTGTGTCTGATGAAATCTGTATTGTCGTTTCGTGGCCAGCAGGGGGCTGGCCATTAAACTCATGTCTGAGAAAAAATATAGATGGCATTGCAGGGTTAGGGCTTGTACAGATGATGTAAGAAAATGTCGCTAGTTTCAGATTTCATAAATGATCCTCTTTATTAGACTCAGTCAGAAGCTGTTAGCCAATGACTGTGCGGTTTCTCGAGCCTCGAGGCTTCACCTTGAGACATCACAGTGGCCATGTCCACCGTTTACACCGTCTGTGACTCAAACTGGATTCACTTCATGTAGCTTTGACCTAAACCCAAACTGCAGCTAAGCTGGCATCAGAGCAGCACTCTCATTAAGTTTGTGCACATTACTGTGCAAGTACAGTAACAACTGAAAAGTCTTTAAATATGGAAACAGTAACAGCCAAAAAAAAAACCCTGATTTTATAACCACACTTCCACTTCTAGCTTCTAGTTTACGAATCTACAAAAACAGTAGGCAGTTAAGTAAAAACAGGTGAATTCATAACAGAGATCAACTTGTGTCAAACTTTCTGTTCCTGTAACAGCCTGAGAGGACTCCAGGATACAAAACTCCTAACGAAGTTGTTTAAAACATGACCCATGGCTGAAAACTGCGTGTGAGTAACAGTTTGCTGACAGAAGCAGCCAACGCAGTCCGTGACAAATCCTAAACTATGTGGAAATCACCGTGGCAGCTTCTGTCTTTGTGAGGCAGTTTTCTATTTGAGATGTAAATGTAAAAATACTGTTTGCCCTCTTTTATAACTGAGGAACACCACAGGAAGTAGTTTCAAGTCTCAGTTCCCTTCTGCCTTGCACCAATGCTCACTCGCTGCTGCTGCTGCTGGTGATGATGTTACTGGTTCGGCCGCTCTAAATCTTCTCATACTGCCACCTCTGAGGTGATCTGCAGCCGATGATACTGGAGGGAGTAGACAGAGGAGATGAGACAATGAGACTCTGAAAGGCGGGCACGTTAGTCTGAAGTGATGGGCACACATACCTGATGGGTGTCATTCCCAGTACTGTGAAAATACTGGCTAGTGTGAACACAAAGCCTGGGAACCAGTCCAGGGTTCCCTGATAGATCTTGGTGAAAGCGGGAATGTACGCCAGGCTGGCAAACTTCAGAGCGAGTTGCAGGAAGGTGAGGGTCATGCCTGAGAAGGGGATGGAAGACAAAGGGAATGAAGAGAGAAGAGCTTGCTGTTTGTTTAATCTATACAAGATATTGCTGGTGTGTGTGTGTGTGTGTGTTGTGTGGTGTGTGTTGTGGTGTGTGGTGTGTGTGTGTTGTGTGTGTGTGTGTGTGTGTGTGTGTGTGTGGTGTTGGTGTTGCATTTCTGACGTTTCAAGCAGATGACGGGAGAAAAAGCCCTGGCAGTAAATTGATCTGATCCTGTAATCACCTGGAAACTGTGTGTTCATGTGTGACAGAGAGGGAGGAAGCCTTCTCTGGCTAGTTGCAGAGCAGGCTCTTATAATATGCAGGTCATTGTTTATTGTGAAGCAGCCTTAAAGGGATCACATGGAGGACTTGCTTATGCACAGATCCTCTCACATGCATCCAAAACTCCCTCAAACTCAGTGCACGCACACTGAAACACAAGACTTAAAATGGTGGCAGCTTTATTAAGGCTTAAATATCACAAGACTCCAAGGCAACCACATTTCAAAATAAAATTAAAATGTCTTCAGTTTTACAGGGAAGATTATGTTTAACCTAAAAACTCCAACTGCCTTCGGCACACGGGTCTTCATCAGGGAGTAAAACAGAGTCAATGAATCGTTTCTAGTGGCATTCCAACAATCGGGCCCTTTCACCTGAGGTCTTCCTTTATTAAGATGTTTAAAAAATATAATAAAACCTCACAGTATAATACTATTGAAGGAGAGCACTTCGCAATCAAGCTGCACTTGTGGTTCCAAGATTTACTAAAAGTAAAATGGGAGGCAGAGCCCTCAGCTATCAGGCCCCTCTCCTGTGGAAACAGCTCTCAGTTTGGCTTCAGGGGAGTATAGTTTTAAAATTAGGCTTTAAACCTTCTTTTGTTTATGTTTTGAAAAAGCTTATAGTTAGAGCTGGATCCGCTTTAGTGATGCTGCTATAAGCTCAGACTGCTGCGAGGCTTCACAAAACAATCCTTCTATTCTCCACTAATTGAGGAATAATGCTCCCATCCCTCAACCGGTCATGGCAGATGGCTGCCCCTCCCCGAGTCTCTTCCTGTTAAAAGGCAGTTCTTCCTTACCACTCTCACCAAGTGCTTCCTTGTGGAGGATCATGTGACTATGTGCTAAATTTTAAAAAAGAAAGAAAAGAAACAGTGTCTGACAGCTATACGGGAAATTCTGCGATTACATAATGACTGAATAATAAATGAAGTCCTCAGCGTTGTGCCACCTGCGTGCACATCTGAATCCTATAAAGCAGTAAAAAAAACCAAACAGCTGGAACAAGAAACAGCTCCGGCTAACGTCTGGCTTATAAAATCTTCTTGCTTATGCTGAAAAGTGTAAAAATGTGACAGCTAATACTAAACAAGCTTAAATCATACATGGTCTTTTCATTAATTAGTAAGTTGTTTGGGCCTCGCTCTTTCATGGGGCAGTGTAATCCATGTGACATGAACTTTAATGCGTCAGAGTTGACAAACCTGTTTAAGAGTCATGAAACTGGTGGCACAGCAGCCTATAACGACAATGCTTTGCTGACACAGTATTTTCTCACGAGCATTAAAAATAAACAGGACTGGTGAGTCTTTCTTCAGACAGCAAACACAACTCGCAGGAAAAGTCATGTTGTCGTTGCTTTAATGCAACCACAGATCACTCCAGCCTACTCTCAACCCGCTCTGCTCCTCGAACTCTGAAGCCATCGTTGATTTTTATGCTGCAGTCAGTAAATATGTGTCGAGTTTATTATGAATGACCAGACTGGGTTTTCATCCATTGTGTTCAGGCACCAATATTATACATTCATTCACGTGCTCAAATGACAGCCTCCAATATTCTCACTTTTTTAAGATGAAATACAAAGTGTGTGTTAAGTGCTCAAAAATCTTTCCTGCGTACTCACCACATGAAGAAGCTGGGACCTGCTGTGAGAGCAGAGATCTGATTGTGGTCATCGGGATGAGAGCAAACAGGGTGAGTGCACGAGCTGCAGAAAAAGTTCATGATTAACATTTTGTTCCATAATGAATTCTTCAAATCCGCCAAACCCGACCACAGCTATGCAGCTACTGCTGCCCATTCTGGGTAAGAATGGTCGCACCTGGTGTTTAAACAAGTATAATTTTTAATCCGGCAGTGCCTGCTTTAAAACAATGTCCCAATTCAGAGGCTAAATCCTTTGAGGGAAACAGGTCAGGCCTTCACAGGTAGCATTGACCCACCAAATATCTCCCTGCTGAATAACTGCCAGCTGGTGGTCTGGTCACTGAGATATAGTTATTGAGATATGAACATACAAAGCATATGTCGGAGGTAAGATTTAGAAAAATCAGCACATGTATCAGAATAAAAACACAAAGCGGTCAACTCCCTGTTTCGTAAACATCCCAAGTTTCAATGACCATGTCCATCAATGCCTCATCAGGGAGTTTGTAGTACAGGTTTTTACCTGACTAAGAAATACTGAGACTAAGGATTTTTAGTCTATTTTTAGTCTTTGTACTAGGGCTGAACGATTATGGAAAATAATCTAATTGCGATTTTTTTGCCCCAATATTGCGATTGCGATGCGATATGCGATATTTTTTAAGGTCTTTGTCTTCTGTATTATTAAACAAAGACAAGCAATACATCATATAGTATGGCCAATACTATATTACATTAATTTTAAACTGTTCTTTCCTGGAAGACAGACCTCTGTTATGATGACATGAGGTGATGCATGAATTGATGACTGACATTTTTATTTAACTTCTTCAATCACAACAGTATATTTGAACATACACAATAGTTTATTTTTAGCTTACAAACATCTGAGCACAAGTGCTGACAAGGAACCCTGGTGTAAACATTAAAATGAAAGTCAGTACAATGTGCAGATTGCAGAAATATACATAAAAAAAATCAGTGGCTTTACCACACTCAGTTTTTCGACATCTGTGAACTACTAGACAGTCATTCAATTAAAAAATAATATTAAATAAATAAAACTAATAAATAAAAAATACACACATCTTACTGATCTCTGCAGTCAGTAACATTACACATAAAGTGCAAACATAATAGCAATTGTATAAACACACACACAAACACGCCTTTAAAATTTAAAGGCGTGAAATTGGACGGTCTAGTTCTGATTAGCGTCACCGCTGTCTCGGTGGAGTTTAATAAACTCGGCCGTCTGCTTCTTGCTATCTAAAATATAACCAGACACTGGTGTAAATTCTCGACTGTCTCATACTTCTGTTTAATAAGTTTTCTGTTTGACGTTTAGTCAGCTGTGTGAAAACCAAGGAGGAACCCACCCGGGGATTAATAAAGTTTATTTTATCTAATCTAATAACTTTAATCTCAGCCAAACCGATTTACTCACGAACAAACAAAACACTGAAAAAAGCCCAACAATAACATTTTTAGGTTGTCTAAGTGACTTATATATTACGTTTAACCCGAGCAGCGAAACTCCGCGGTGATCTGAAAATGATGTGCCGGGAGTTGTGCCGTTCTCGGCCGCATCAGTAATCCTCGAGCTCCCGGCTAGCTGTCGAGCTGGTGGGTAGCAGACGCCTCTGAAAACGTCGAAGCACTTTGCAAATATGGGATATCTTGATAAACCGAGCAGATATTTGATGTTTACACAACTACTTTCTCGCCTGAAAATATGTTAAAAGTTTATTTTGTGACCCAGAAAGATTAGTATGAGTAATTTTAAAACTTAGTAGCGGCCGCCATTGCTGGAAACTGGAGTTTGGCTGGGCCGCGCTATGAATTCTGGGATATGGTAGTAATTTGGACAGCCTTATAATCGCAGTATAATCGCAGCCTTTGCGGTTAGAAAATTGCACTTGATCATGTCGCGATATTATCGCAAATGCGATATATCGTTCAGCCCTACTTTGTACACACACACACACACACACACACACACACACACACACACACATATAAAAACTAACACCCAGCACGCCCCTGCGGGCGGTTTATCCTTCAAGCTCGGGTCCTCTACCAGAGGCCTGGGAGCTTGAGGGTCCTGCGCAGTATCTTAGCTGTTCCCAGACTGCGCTCTTCTGACAGAGATCTCCGATGTTGTCCCGGGATCTGCTGGAACCACTCGCCTAGCTTGGGAGTCACCGCACCTAGTGCTCCGATTACCACGGGACCACCACTAACTTATATATATATATATATATATATATATATATATATATAGTATATATATATATATATGAGAGATGGCACGATACCACTTTTTTATGTCCAATACCGATATCATAAATTTGGATATCGGCCAATACCGATATGAATCCGATATAGTGTGTTTTAAGAAATAAAACTGTTTTTTTAATATCTTGCTGCATTTTGTATAAGTTCAAACTCAAGTTTAAAAAAAAGAAAACACTAAAGCTATTCTGTTATACCTGTATGCAAAAAATACACTGCACCCAAAATATTTCATAGTTCAGCAACACTGATCAATCTAATAAACTTAAACCTACACCATCCTCCCTATTCTGGTATTTTAAAGAGTACTTAGCAGAAATATTAAGCAACCTAACTAATAGGTTCCAACTCCCAGCAAAAAAAAAAAAAAAAAATAGGAACCCCCCCCACCTTATGATGCTTAATCGACATAATTAACTTTAATTTGATGCAGTTTGAAAAAATGCACAGAAATCAATTATTTTTCAAGAGTAATTAAATAGATTCAACATCTTTCTTCAACAGAATTGCAGACTGCACAGATGGTACCTTCCCAACGGAAAAAGTAGTATAGCTTACTAGGGTATATTAGACTTAACAGTTACTATATACAGTAATGGACTTCTATACATTTTACATCAGATTAAAACTTTGAGTGTAAGATTCAAATAATTATTTATTAAAAGCTAGACATTTTAAATGAGAATAAGAAAGAAAAGTATGTCTTTCTGCTCCCCTTTTCCCTGTTCATGCCCTATCGGCCCCCCTGGCTAAACTTTGCTAGATCCGCCCCTGCACAGTTACCAGCATCAGCTACATAGAAAAAGATCCTCGTGTAGAAAGTAATATTAAATAAATTCTAACAACAGCTTAACAAGCTTAAACATGCTGCTGTTGTTCAGCCGCTGGTTTCCTCTTTCTGGCGCGAAGTGGGCAATAAACAAACAAGAGAGACGAACTCACGACAGAAAAGCTGATCAGCTGATCATTGATCAGTTTCACGACTGAAGTAGCAGCAGGAGAGGGAGGGAGAGAAGAGGCAGTCGCTCCATATATCGTTTGTTAAGCTTAATGCTGGAATGCTTTACAAACATTCAGAGATGAACTTACACACTTGCTTCATTTCTCTCTGGGATAACTTCCTCGGAGATGAAATGCCGGATTGGTAGCGAGGCTCCAAATACTGAACCAGACCGCAGACAGGTCTCCCACGCCACAGCCGCTCTATCACGTGATGCATACTACTCCGACTGCTAAGGTTATGGGCCGAGTTACGCCATGTTGCAAGTTTTGTGAGGTGTTCTTTTGATATTTAATGGATCGGATTATTTATATATATATATATATATATATATATATACTAGGGTGCAACGATACACAAAATCACGGTTCGTTCGGTTCGATACTTTGGTGTCACGGTTCGATATTTTTTCGATACAAAAAAAATGTTCATGCCTTTTTAATTTGTCATTTATTAAAATTATAAATATATATTTTAACTCAAAAGTACAGTTTTTAAATTTAACCCTAACCCTTGTGTGTGTTTTTTATTTTGACAGCGAATGCGCACCTGCGGACCACTTATGTGCACCCCTGGGTTATTTAGCTCGTCATATTGCAGCCACAGAAATTCTTTTGTCCATGAAACCATAAAGCTGCACTTTCTTTTTGCCTTATAGTCTGATTTGTCATAACTTTTCCGTTTTGCGGTAAGCTTTTCTTTGGCTGTCACTTCTTCACCCCGACCTGTCTTATTTGGCTCGCAGAACTAAAATATATATCCTGCTGCTTTTACACACGCACTCACATAAGCTCAGCGATTCTCTGCGCGATCAACCTCTCACATGTTTAAGCTTGCTGCGGGAGATTTCACTTATCATGTTTGCATAGTAAGCTAACGATTAATAAGACGATGTCAGAGGAATTGGTGCACAAATTATCATCACTCACAGATCAGTGCTGTCGCTCTCTATACACCGTTCGCACGATTGCAAAGTGAAAGCAAAAAAACAAGCGCAAATTCAAACGCGATTTCAATATGTCACATATTGACAGTGGCTCACCGATGCCAATGACATAATTACCCAGCTACATTTCTGAAAGAATGCAAAAGCATTGACATATATTTTTCCTTCCTACAATAGCCCGACGGCAGGGTAGCTCGTCTGAAAAAAATCGCTAGCCCAGGACGTCGGGCTAGCGATTTGCGAGCCCTGTATCTGATTGAGGAATCATCATCTTTGGAAAAGAGAGTTTATTACAGAGAAATGGCTCTTTCCAAAATAAAAGCTATACTATCCGCTTCGTCTGGGCTATATTCTCAGCAGCATAAGGAGAATCATGTGCTAACAGCTGTCTAAATGACTCGGCTAAAGTTAGTAGCATGCTTGTTGTTTTTGTCTTTGCACTAGGATGATGTCGGCGTAAATGTGCAGTCATATTCGTTGTGTTCCCACTAGTGCTTTCAGGTTAATCTCGTTGAAATGACCTTAACGCCACAACACGGCAAATCTCCGTTAACGAGCTACCGCCGATCGCCCCGTGCATGGGGCTAGACGGCCAACACGTTAACGAGCTAACTGCGCTAACACACTAGTTCCCACCCATGTAATTAAGCATTGCGCGGCACATCCAACATACTGTTTTACTTTAGTCCATGACTCGCTTACCTTCAGGGTCATACGTCACATGAAAACCAAAATAATTCCAAACGCCAGATCTGAATGAGAGTGGGGGAGGTCCATGTTGCTGAGAGCTTAACTTCTGTCTCGCTAGCTTGCCCTGTGCTCTTCCTCCTGACTATGCTGTCTGTGTGGAGCGCTCAGTGGATCTGCGCTCGACAGTGCAGCCTAGGCGGAGTAGTCGAACGCAGATCCACTGAGCGCTCAACACAGACAGCATCGTCAGAAGGAAAGTTGATAAAATAAATTACAAATGTTGTATTGTTCGATACATATGCGTACCGAACCGAAAGCACTGTATCGAACGGTTCAATATCGATACGAATATCGTTGCACCCCTAATATATATATATATATATATTGTCCAAGTTCAGAAGTGAAGTATGATAAATAGCAAATAAAAAACATCCTAGTGGTGCCAATCCCGCCCAAACAATAATTAAGACAAAGTATCTCATTTGTTTATAACCAGAAAATAGACCAGACCACAACTGCTGAGAAATGTCCCTTTTTACATTTCCACATGTTTATCCGTGAGCTTCAGCTGAGTAGCTGTTTGCTGGGTGTACATATTGAGTATTGAATGTCTTAGCCTTCAGTAAGAATGCAGATCTCTTATAGTGGTCACTACAGTGGACAGCTATTCAAAGGCTGTTTTCTTGTATTTGTGTCAGTGTTGATAGCATATTTGCACATAAACCACCACATTGGACACTGATGTGTGACTCCATACCCTGCCACCCACTGGCCAGCCAGTGGACTAAGTGGATGTAAAAAACTCTTTGCAAAGTACATGTTTAAAAAAATGAAGTTCAAAAATCTTTTTTTCATGCCTAAAGATGAATAAAAATACTTAAGAAAAAAATCCTGATTGAGGTCATAATTCATGCATGAAAGGGTTAAATAAACCTTATCAAACTTAATTGGTTGAAACTAACTCCTGGCTGATTTGGTAATTAAATGTAATGTTCTTGTTGACTGCCTGTGTGCATATAACATGCTTCCTGCAGCACAGCACTCTTAGACTAAGGGGGAAAAAGTGTTTATGGCTTATAATCACTCCTAGTTCCTTATTTTGGTTCCTACTTTTTTATGATTCATGGTGGTGTTTTAGGTCTGACGTAAACTCAAATAAACAGCTTGAATTTTAGCACACAAACTTATTTTGCTTGCTGAGTCAAACTTTCTAATCCATCAAAGCATAAACACACATTTTTTTCCCATTTGCTGTTTGCTGTGCGAACCACTTGGCAAAGTAAAAATAAAAGCAACGATTGGAATCTGAACACGCAGCTCTTCTGGGAACTAAACCTGATCTGTTTTTTAGACAATACCAAGTGTCACATGAAGAACAGGTTAGGAGCAGTCACACAACTGGGCCTTTGTTGCTTTCAGTGTCTAATTTTTTTTATTTTCTCACTTAAAAACACATTATTTTAGGGCAGCTTTTCATCTTTATTTGACATGACTGAGAAGAATACTGGAAAGTGGGGGAAAACACACAGCAAAGGGTCCTAGGTTAGGCATGCATTGAGCCTGATCAACCAGGGGCGCTAAACTGGGGGCCTATTTACTCTGTTTAAAGGTCATAGGAGAAAATGAAGGATGTGGCCTGTGCGTGTGGCATGAGCTCTAAACCCGCCTCAAATCTTCTGGATGAAGTGTCTCTATTAGCTGCTAATCCACCACAAATTTACTATAAAATCTGTGTAACATGTTTGTTCTTACCGAGGTAGAAAGTGAGGGTCGTCGTTACAAAGGACATGAAGTAAATCCCGACAGCGAAGGACACCATGCCGATCAGAATGAGCGAGGTGTCGCTGCAGCAGCGTCGAAACCCGATGACACCTATGTAACTGGTGAGGAAGATCACACAGCCTGCTGCATTTCCGTACCCCACCTGAAGAAAGAGGAAAAGAAATGAGAAAAAAAGAAGGGAGAGGATGTTCAGCGATAGAGAGGCAATAATAAACAGACTATGCAACTAGAACAGATGGCATTAATGCTTAAGTGCCTTAAATCTGCATTATTTTTAATGACCATCAGGGGGCGACTCCTCTGGTTGCAGAAACACTCCTGGCTGTATAGACATTTGTGGGAAAACACGCCTCAGTTCCCTCAGTCTGTTCAGAAGACTACAGTCATACAGTCAGAAAGGAGGATGAACAAGGGTGTGCTCATTAGCTAACAACATACCAATCACCAACCAACCGATGGCTAAGCTTAGACACTAATATTTAGAATTGTCCCGTCTGCTTAAAATAGAGTTAAAACTAGCAGTGTTACTTTTATCCCATCTTTTTTGCATCAAATCACAAAAATGGGGTAAAAAAACTTACTAGAGTGGCGTTCCAGCTGAGTGGTGCTCTCAGCACAAAGGCGCCCAGTACTTCAATGGCTCCGCCCACTGCAAAGTCGTACAGGATGGCAGCCACAAACAACAGAGCCACATTCACTCTGTTTATCTCAACAGGAGCCTCGACAACTGAAGAGTTAGTGGAGGCGCGTAACAGTAGGTGGCGGTTCTCCTCCGGCTCTCCATCGCTTACACCTTTCACCTTTAATAAAGACGGACATGCGTGGTATATGAGCTCGGCGAGGTGGTAGAGCGAGCACGTGTGGCTAAAACTGAAGGCAGAACATGAATAAAGATGGTTCTAGTTATAATTTAATTAATTACAGATTAATGTAATTATTCACATTATTATTACAGCAGCATGTTTAATGATCGACAATTTAGCTTGCTGTTCTTTATTTTATGTCATAGATGTACTATTAGGTCATGGTGAGGTCACCAAAAAGAAAGAAGTTTTTTTTTTTCTACTTTTGGCTCTGTATGATGTCAGTAGGATCAGATCTTCTGAATGTGGTTATCTCTACCTGGTGTTCAGAGCCCTTTTGTTTTGAAGGGGCAGCTAATCAGAAAAAACTTACCTTTAAGGGGGGAGGAGCTAGAAGCAAAGTGGATGAAGGGCCATTATAAAATATACTGTGAATCATGCAAAGCTGATTCACAGTATATTTTTTGATTCCAAGAATAAAAATAAAAATAAACAATTAGAAATACACAAAAAACACATGGCTACACTGGACCCCCGCCCCCTCTGAACCCTCTCACGTGCACACACTGACCTGCAGCAGGAAAATGGAGTGTAAGAGGCAGAGCAGATGCAGCAGTGTGCTGATGATAAGCAGGATGGTCCCATGTCCCAAACTGGAGCTGTACAGGTGGAACAGATGGCCAGAAGCGAGGCTGCCCACCACGCCTGCTAACCCATACATGAACTCCACCCTCATCAACACCTGCAAGGGGGCACAGGGTTATTTCTTTTAATATAAATCAGTTAAGTCTGTGAAGGTTCTCAGTCAGGAGAGACCAAACAGCCACTTCACAAGCGCATGGCACAACACAGAAGAGCCACCTCCACAGGACAAGACTCAGCAGTCCATCTGCATCTTAAGGATAAAGGACACTCTTTCGAGGATGCCAATGTTCACATTTTGGACAGAGAGGACAGATGGTTTGAAAGAGGAGTGAAAGAAGCCATCTATGTCCACTGTGAGCGACCATCTTTGAACAGAGGCGGAGGTTTACGACACCAACTCTCTGCCATCTATAATCCAGTTTTGAGTTCCCTTCCCAGACGCCTTAACGCCCACTCACATCCTGGGCCATCTGACCTCAGGAATTCGCATGATAAGGTGGGGCCAGGTTTCACAATGAACACACCCGAAACTCTGGCTGATTGGAACCCACGCCCAGTTTCACACCTTGGCTCAGGCGATTAGAGGATCATCAGGGGGTCCTTTTGTCCCTCTGTGGGGGTCACTCCCACTAGGTTTATATCTGGGACTCTCCACATTTGACCTTAGAACTGAAGAAGCTTCTCGGATGAGAGGTGAAACGTCTTCAAGCAACTTAAAGAAGTCCAGACGCTTTTCTCTGCAAGCTCCTTTTAATAAATCAGTTAAAGGAAACTGTTTTGCTTTTGTTTGGGGTTTTTTTTTCCAGTTCAATTCAGCTGAATCATGGAGTAAAAGCCATCTGTCACAACGGGTTTGGGGGTGAAGGGAGGGAAACAGGACAAAGAAACACTGTGGAAGAGGGCAAGAGTAGTAATAATAACTAATGACTACATGCAGATTGGTGTATTAACACAGGGAGTGAAGATGAAACGGTGCATCATGGGAAGCTCCCAGCTTTCTAGGCCTATTGCAGCACAACTAAGGAAGGATTCAGGGTCACTTGATCTAGAACTATCATCATGCTTTATCAAAAAGGAAAGTCTTAAGTTTAATCTTAAAAGTAGAGAGGGAATCCAGACTGGGAGCTGGCTCCACAGCAGAGGGGGCTAACCCCTGAGTGATTTGGTAATTAAATGTAATTTTCTTTTTGACCGCCTGTGTGCATATAACATGCTTCCTGAAGCACAGTACTCTCAGACTAAGAGGGGGAAAGTGTTTATGGCTTTATGTTAAAAGTTTAAGCTTACTTTTTTTTAAAGTTCACTGAATATATATTTGAGTTGTATTGTGTTTCTTTTAGGTACAACATCTGTATTGCATAGATTTTAGTTAAAAGAGGTGACGCAGACTCGTATATCGACCAATTGTGCTCACATGAGCAATAAAACCTAAAGGCCATTTTTAAATAAGGGAAATCCCTGAAAACAATAATAGCGAAAGACTGAAAAATCTGGAAAAAAAAAAAAGAGAGAGAAAGAAAGAAAGAAACGGTCTTCTTTAATGGCCCAACTTATTCGTTTATATCCTTGTAATTCTTAGTTTTTGCACATTATCATCAGTTTTACAGTCAAACACAAAGTTTTGTGATTGAAAGTAAGTTATTTTGAGGCTCCTCTCGGCGCTCCTTCCACGGCTTTGCAGCTGCAGCACGCCTGTAACTCACCTTGGAGCGGTCGGCCGCCGTGGAGCCGAGTGAAGCTAGAGTCATTACACCGGGCCAATATGCGGTGAACCCGCCGGAGAGCCCGAGGACAGCCCCCGCCGCGAACATCACCTGCAGCGGCAGTTTTAGAACGACTACCAGGAGCAGGATGACCCTAGACAACAGGTAGCCGGTGAGGGGGGACACGATGGGGGCTTTCCTCCGGCCGCGGTCGCTCAGTCTTGCCAGGAACAGCGCAGGAAAGATGGGAGTCAGCTGGATAATGAGGTTGTTGATCATGTAGAAGTCGGTCATGGCTTTCTGCTGGGCATCCTCACTGGAGTGGCCCGGGTCGGTAGCGTTGGCACAGCGGTCCCAGACCACCATCTGCAGCGCGGTATCAAAGAGAGTGCTGCCCAGCTGCTCGAGCACGATGATCGGCTCGATCTGCCGAAGCATCGCGAAGGCTGCTTGACACAAGTTCGGTACCACCATGATCTGGATTGTTGTAGCTTTGTAAAAAAAAATAAAGATGACCGTCTTCTAGGACTGCTTCCGTCAGTAGTAAGTGAAGGGTGTGTGCGCGTGTGCTTCAAACTAAGCAGCCTCACCGAGGAAACACGCCCACTTCCTCATCCCCTGCTGCTGATCTGCTGGCTTCAGTGCACTCTGTCAGATTTTAGGAAACCACCTTCTTTCATCAGGCTCTGGGCCACTATTTACATTTTCATCATTACCATTTCTCTGTGCTCCCTATTATATCTCCACACAAATCATCTCTCGTTGCATTTATCTAGGTTTGAGATATAAAACTGAAACACAACTGAGCTGCAGTCCAAAACATGGCATTAGATATGAGCCCATTGAAGGCAGTTAATCCATCTCAGCTGGTATACTTTCATTTTCATTTACACTTTTAAATAAATTATCAGTGTGTGACTTTAAAATGTGAAAAATGCTGATAAAAGACCCAGCACGCACCACCCATGTAATTACACAGGTATTGCAAAGCCAAATCAAATGTGCAGTTCCTGTAAATTTCTATGAAGAACTGTAGGCGAAGTAGATATCGCATGCATACAACAGCACATATACAGGCATTACCGCCAGCTCATTTCAAGGTAAACCAGAAAGCAGGTAATCCTCTAACAGGTGAAGCCTGAAACAGGAAACATTTAATTTCCTTCCAATAAACAGCAGTGACTGCAGTCTTTGTGGATAGGCTTCTGCTAGAGTGGTCTCTGTTGTATGTTGATAGAAATAATTTGAACTGAAAAAAAGCACATTCACAATGGGTTCCCACAAGCTCAACAATGCACTAACCACAAGGTACTTTCAAAAGCTGCTGCTTACAGCTCACAAATAGAACTCAAGGAAGTGTCTGTGAAGGTTCTCAGTCATCCAGGTCATCGTAGTCAAAGGAGCTTGCAAAGAAAAGCGTCTGGACTTCTTTAAGTTGCTTGAAGACGTTTCACCTCTCATCCGAGAAGCTTCTTCAGTTCTAAGGTCAAATGGTGGAGAGTCCCAGATATAAACCTAGTGGGAGTGACCCCCCACAGAGGGACAAAAGGACCCCCTGATGATCCTCTAATCACATGAGCCAAGGTGTGAAATTGGGTGTGGGACCCAATCAGCCAGAGTTTCGGGTGTGTTCATTGTGAAACCTGGCCCCACCTTATCATGCGAATTCCTGAGGTCAGATGGCCCAGGATGTGAGTGGGCGTTAAGGCGTCTGGGAAGGGATCTCAAAACTGGATTATAGATGGCAGAGAGTTGGTGTCGTAAACCACCGCCTCTGTTCAAAGATGGTCGCTCACAGTGGACATAGATGGCTTCTTTCACTCCTCTTTCAAACCATCTGTCCTCTCTGTCCAAAATGTGAACATTGGCATCCTCGAAAGAGTGTCCTTTATCCTTAAGATGCAGATGGACTGCTGAGTCTTGTCCTGTGGAGGTGGCTCTCAGGCGATTAGAGGATCATCAGGGGGTCCTTTTGTCCCTCTGGGGGGGGATACTCCCACTAGGTTTATATCTGGGACTCTCCACCATTTGACCTTAGAACTGAAGAAGCTTCTCGGATGAGAGGTGAAACGTCTTCAAGCAACTTAAAGAAGTCCAGACGCTTTTCTTTGCAAGCTCCTTTGACAACTCAAGGAAGTGTTTGCTTGTTCAGTTCTGGTCCGATAATGAGACATACCTCCTTCAAAATGTTTGTAATGTAAAGTGTACTCTATGTATACTCCCTGGCCAAGTCAGTGGGTAGCTGTTCAACTGCTCCTTCATCATTCAATCATATGGAGACATAAGTTTTTAGGCAGGTAGACACAGTCAAAAAGACATAAATTCAAACTGTGCATCACAGTTAGGAAGATATGATCTAAGTGACTTTAAACACAGCATGGTTGTTGATGTCAGATAGACTGGTCTTAATATTTCACAAACTGCTCGTCTGTTTACAGAGAAGGATCCAAAAAGAGAGAAAACATCCAGTAAGTGGCAGTTCTCTGGATGAAAATGCCCTGTTGATGTCAGAGAATGCGCAGAATGCTTTGAGCTGATAGGATGGCAACAGTAATTCAGTTAACCACAGAAGCAGATGGGCTACAGGAGCAGATCACACCAGGTGCCACTCCTGTCAGCTTAGAACAGGAAACGGAGACTGAAATTCTATTGTACACCAAAACGGGACAATATCCATCCATTCGTCCATTTTCAACTGCTTATCCAGATCACGGGTGCAGCAGTCTCTAACGTGAAGTCTAAATGTCCCTCTAACCAACTGCCTCATCCAGCTCTTCAGTAGGGGACACCGAGGCGTTTCCTGGGTATTCCTCTGGGCCTTATCCTGGTGGGACATCAGTCAGAACGCCTGGACAATAGAAGATTAGAAAAACTCAATCTCTGCTGCCACATTCAGAGGATAGGGTCACAGCAAAGTGTGAATGAAGTGTCCCTTTGGTTAGTGTATGTATATGGACAATGAAATGATCCCCCCACCTCCGCTTCCAGTATTAACACTGAAAACACATGCAAATGAACCACTCAGGAAACCCACATGTACAGGTTTTTGGCTTTAATGAGAAAATATTCATAATATGTATAGTGGGTGTGTAACTGTGAGCCTTACATGTGCTATAAAATAACAAAGCAGAGTATGAGCATACAAGTGGTTAACATAGGAACAGGGGTTATACTGTGTTTATATTGTAGTAATAAGATTGCTTTATCACACACACAGACAGTGAGTTCCACACTGGAGAAGCTCTGTAGGCCGAAAACAAGCTACCAGCATTTAAAATGATAAATAAAATCATCTCTGCACCATAAATTCAAACATCAAAATCATAATAATAATAATTATAATAATAATAATAGATCACACCATTCAATAATTCCTCTGTGTGTACGTTTCATAAGCGACTCTAATGAGAACTTTGATTGGTTCCCACAAGGATGAAAACCTTTTCCGTCCTGTTGTCTTTTAGCCTTTAAGTCAAAAATAATCTCATACCAGCGTTAAAGACACTTCACCTCTGCTGCACCACAGAAGACCCTGAAAGGAGAACTTGGATGATTCTCTGGAACATATGTGTGGGTTTTAATATTATTTGTTCTGGGTTTGGTGGAAGTGGACACCGCAGAGGAATGAGTCCTTGATTTTCACTTTTGGTTTATGGCGTTTGTGCCACGCTTTCTTGACAAAGCATATCACAAGACAGTCGAGTGGAATAAGTTGCAAAGGGTGGCTTGACTTGATAGGTTAGTAGATGTCCAGCAATTACATCTGTGGTTTAGCTCAGCGTACATTCAGTGTGTTTGGAAGCAAAGAGAGAAGTTGCTGCCTTGCTGAAGGGCACTTGGACAGGTCAAAACTGTGACTTTTGGTTTACAAAAACGATGTTGTTTCTCCTCACATCTGGACGCAGAAACAAATCTCAAAGGCTACGACAGAGGAATACAATCAAAAGTTGTCCAGAAATACCGTTTCCACAGCCAGTTTGACACATTTCTACTTTTCATTTTAAATTAAAGACAGTCTGTTATACTCCAGGGAGAAGTGTGGTTGTGTTAAAGTGTATTTACTGTTTTACTCTTGAAGCTGAATCCTGTTTTTCCTCGTCACTTTGTATGATTTCAACACTTCAAAACACAAAATCAATGTCATTCTGCAAAATTCAGTCACAATACAGTTAGTAAAAAAACAAAAAAACCCTTACAAGCCCAACTTACAGCACAGCTCAGCGTCTCAAAAGACCTTTATTGCCTTCTTTTTGCCACTGCACTTTTTTTTCAGCTGTGCTTGTTTCAGGTTAGGAAAGGAGTGTGAATCCATTCGCACACTTGTACGCCTTAAAAAGGACGTGGAGAGCTCAGGCTGGTGGGTTTTCTCTAAATAACATTCTGTTTTGGTATAACGACTTCTTATAAAAACCTTTTTTGATTATTTTTTTCATCAAACTTTATCCTCGGCTAGCAAGTAGATACAGACGTTCATAGGTCAAATACACAGTCCTACCTCAGTATAATACATGAAACAACTGCTTACATCATCAGAAAGCACAGGTCAACAAAGCGACGTAGCCAACAAAAGTAAAATAAGTGATTTTTTTATATAAAACCCCTGACCCAGCCCTTTAATTAACACACAAATTCACTCAAATGGTGTAAGCACTACCAGCAGGTAGCCCCCCCCCCCTTTCTGTTTGCACTGGAAAAGAAGCGATTACAGGCAAACTTTCTATCTAAGGTGGTTGCTTATTTTCCCTAAGGTCTACCGACAGTGTAGTAATGCAGGATAGGAGAGGATACAATACATACCGTTCACCGACAAGCACTGGCGGTCTAAGGCAAGTTTAGTTTTGCTAGTTTTGCTAATTTCTTGACTAGCATTTAACACAAAAAGGATGCTGACTGCTCAAAATTCAGTAAAGATGCTTGACAAGAAGGCAAAAGCTCCTGGCAAGCGTGTCAAACTTGTGTCATATCTGCACTGTGCCATTATGGGCTCTGAAAGTGACGCTTTGGGGCACCTTTCGGTTCGGTTCTTGGAAAACACAGCAGCTTTCCAGTAGTAAATCCAGGTAAAAGTATTTCTGAAATTACAAAAACTAAGAGGGTGATCTGGCCTCTCCTTGTCTACTTCCTCTCAGAACTTTCTTTTTTTGAATAGCTGCATCTGCCTATCTTTTATATCGTCCTCTTGATTAAAAGCGTTCCACACTTTCAGAAGATGACTGTGGTTATTATATAGCACGCGCAGATGAAACCACCATCAGAGAGTCTCAGGCAACCAGTCAAAATAAAAGCTTTAGATCTTATTTGAATAATAGCATAAAGGTGAAAAATCCTAAGAATATTTCAGTCATTTAGCATCTACCAGCTATTAAAAACACTAAACGTTGCTCTAAAACCACCATCAAACACCTTTGAAGTGTCTCTTTTATTGCTGACCACCTTCACATATTTCCCACATCCTCAGCCCCTTAACATGCTAATATACCTTCAGTTTTCAGGTCCAAAAAGCCCCACTGGTTCACACTGCTGGGGTCATGT